AACAGTATAATAATTTCATCATACCAAGTGAATGTACTGTATCATTCAGTTGTGATTTTGATATACAAGATACAAGAAAATTATATTTTGTACAGTACAGTAATACACCAGGACATATACAACATTGGTTCCAGTTGCTAATAATGAACTACAACCAGCATTGTACAGTGTACATACACACACAATAACCAGCAAAATAAAAGTATTGAAATAATAATTAACAGCATTATTGTTTATATCTAAAACTAGACAGAAGCTATCAGGTGCTTGTCAAACCAAACAGATAAAATTATATTGGGTTTTGATAGTGTACACTTACTTTATACATACAGTATATGGTCAAATATATCACATCCTTCTGCTAGATTTTGGATAATGAACCATTTCAACATGTCTGAACAAACATATACAAACTGTATATGCCTATAAAAAATATATGCTGCATGCCTGTACATTTCAACATCTTAAAGAACTCATCTCAGAAAATGTTCACATTTACTGTATGCTGATCTGAATGATTGGGTGTCAAGCTTCCTCCACTATTCCAAATTATATTTGTCTTACTTCAGCTAGGATTGATGTTGTTTTGATTGATGACCCCACTATATAATGCAAAAGAGAGTCTAATAATGCGAAAAACTAGAAAATCAAATAAATCTAATTATCTCCAACTTATTCAAGAATTAAGTGAACAATTTTCTGAAGTGCACTACGTCACTCTGGAAATAGGTTCACTGGGTCATTCAATCAGTAATAATATCACGCCTAGCTTAAATATTCTTTGTGGTAAAAATTTGTCAAAATCTTCAATTGAAGGCATTATGCAAGATTTTTATAGGCCATCCGTCCAATGTTTAAAGTACATTTTCCAGTGTAGAAAGTTTTAAACATGGTCTTCGCCATGACTTTCATGGCAGGATTATGCCCTTATGATTGATGCCCTACAATTGCATAATGCCTTCAAGGCGTAATGTTTAAACTGACAGAAAATTTAATAAAATCTCAGCTTTTTTTTAAACTGTGCCTTGCCATGCCCCTAAGCCTGATTTAATTCTTGCATTAGCAATGTCATTTTTAGTATAGGTCATTGCCCTCAAGTTATTTTCTCCCAATACTACATTTTTTCTAGGATTCTTCCTTCATTTCATTAATAATGTTCCTCCATACAGTGGCGTACTAGTTGCGAAAGTGCCCCAGTGCAAGTCCCTTGATGTGACAGGAAAATTCCCTAAATTTCTCAAAAAATTCATTATAAGAATTGCTTCTTTCACCCCCTCCTCCTAAAGGCATGTGTTAGTAATAAATACTAATTATAATCGGATTAAAAAATATTTTCAGAGGAGCAACTTTTCTAAATTAATAAAGAAAATTGGTGACACATAAAATTAAACAATTGCAGTGGTGGATCAGGAAATTTGAAATAGATGGGCCAGGGAGGGATTTCCACAGGTGGAGGATGAAGACCACCTCAGTTGTGGCAAGACAATTTATGATTATCGCACCTCTAGATGGCCGGAAATGGGACTCTCAGACTTTTAATATAATATAATTTTTTTTTATTTTGAAAAAAAATAGGGGGTCGGGCCCACCGGGGCCCATTTGAATACACTACTGTATAGAAATCAGTAATCAATAATTATACTCTAAAAACTGATTATTATTATTATTATTATTATTACTATTATTCACAGACTGACCATTTTTTTTTTCAAAATTAATTTGGAAATAATTTTAAATTATTATTTTCAGGTCTATTTATGAATGGGCCCCAAATAGCCCTGGGCCCCAGTACTTTACACTGGCTGCACTCTCTGTAGCTACTGTATGCCACTGCCTCCATAAGAAACTGTAAGTCATAATGACTCCAGAGGATAACTGATTTATGATTATGATAATATGTTTATTATTACTATTGATAATATGTTTAGAAATACAGTATTATATATTTTTTAAAAAGTATATTATTGAAATAATGTTAAACATAATATTAATTTTTTTATTTATGACATTTAATATTTAATGTGATGTGATGATGACTTTTATAATGAAAAAAATAATGTACAAGTAAATGATTTGAATATGTGATATGTTTTTGTTTTTTTTTTTAATAAAGGTGTGCTACCCACACAAAAGAGAAAAAAAAATAAACCATAAGCCTTATCAATTACTCACACTGACTCTGAACTCTGAACTATTATTACCAATGTCATTTCCCACTAAACTAAGCATGTTATCTTTCAATACAACATTCATCCTCCCACATTTTTCCATTATTTCATTAACAATACTGGCTGATAAACTGGAAAGAACCATGTCAATATGGATCAGCCTTGGGGAGAAAGAACTTCAGAAAGCAAGCTAATGGTCTTCCGTTGATCGATAATAGATTAATCCTACTCAAATATAATTCTGTCCAATTCATTTTGTCATCTACTGACACAACCAGCCTTATCAGCTGTAAAACATTAACTTCTCCATAAGAAACCATAAGACTATCCTCACAAACTCTGCCAGTGATTTACCATTAGGCCCTATAAAAAATATTATTAGTTTATCACCCTATCTGGGCAGGAAAAGTGATGAAGGAGGGAGCTTTTTTTAAAATTTTTTATTTTGCTAAACATGTTCGCACTGCGCCATAACATCCAGTGTCAAATCGCCCAGCTGAACGAGCTGTTCAAGTTGTGAAAGATGGTTTGGAAAAGATGACCAGCGGTAACATCGAAACAAAATTGGCAAGGTTTTTATTTCACTACCGTAAAACACTGCATTCAAACACAGGGCGTACGCCCTCAGAACTAATGTTTGGAAGACAAGTTCGAACACATTTGGAAGCAGTAAAACGTGACATAGGTCGCACAGTGTGCGAAAAGCAAGCATCACAAAATATCATGTACATGCAAAACATCGCTCGTTTCATATCGATGGTCCAGTGTTTGTCCACAATGTTCTTAAAGGAAGTTGGTTAAACAGTATAGTAGTTGAGCGTACAGGTATGGTTAAGCTAAGTAATGGTTAAGTCATGAAGAAACATCACTACCACATTCAAAAAATGCACAACAGAGATAGCAGATGATGTATTTGTATCAGATATTCCATCGTCGATTATCTTGCCAACTAGTGAAAATGTGAAGTTGTCAGGAAGCGAAGATACCGATACTGTAAGCGCAACAGAGGAAAGTCTCCTATCCGCCAAGGCATTCACTTACAATAAAAAAAACCACCAGATAGATTGAATATGTAGAAGTCTGCATTGTGAAGGTCAGAATAACACCTTATGATCAATGTTGAATTAGTCAAGGGTAGTCCACCCTTATGACTATAGTATTGTTCTTGTTTGCTTATGTTTAAAAAAATAAATTAAAAAATAAGCAGGAAAAGTAAAAGAAAAAGATTCATAAAGGTTAACTTTCTAGTATTATAATATTGAGCTTCAACAACAACTTCTTAAATTCTATACAGTGTTAATGATGTTATGTTTAAATGACTGGTTTATCTTGAACAAACTAAGGGGTGAGGAATGTGATAACCTGTGGTTCAGGTTTGCTGCAAAAGTAATAGAATGCTAGGCCTAATTAAACGTAACTGTTGGAATATAAAGAACCAAAAAGCAACTAGATTTGAACTCGTCACTGAGGACGAGTTAGGTGATCCGCCGCAATTTGACCCTCGAGGAAGTATGCGCGGTGCAGATTGAACAATTTTAAAATGCTGAAAATGGCCCAAAGTATACGCTAATTCATTTTTTTAAGAATTTGAAGCATTTTAAAAGATTTACTTATGCGTATGCGCACGCCATGACGCACGTGCGCATGGTAATGTCACGAAATGTTCACTCATGAGATATATGTATCAACTCTCATTGACAAACGCCTGTTGGTGAGTAACTTATTATCATTCATAATGTTTACCATATATAAAAATTCAGTTTTTTAAATTCAGATGGCAATATGACGACGTCACAATGTCCGATCAGCCATAATGATCTATAAAATCATATCTACAACTCACGTGCTTTCAGAATATGTAATAAAAATTGGGGGTCACCATTCATCCTAAGAAGCTATAACTGATTAAAAATATATATATGGTTTTAAGCATATATAAATGTTGACGCACGCGTACGTGCACGCTTAAAAGCACGAACGGAAAATTAAGGGACATGACATTCAACCTTGACCTGAAGATTATGCTCACTTAATATGATTCAGAAATGACGAATGGTTAAGATGATATGGGCTCATCAACGTTTTGAGGAAAGAAAGATGTGGGGGTCAGAAAAAACAATTTTTTTGACCATGATGATGTCATCAAAATGTAAAAAGAAGTCAAATATATGAAAGAGAATTGTCTCAGTTATAACATATTTAAAGTTGGAAGACGATCGATCAAGGATAAGCGGGATACGCTCAAATGGGTATTTTCAAAAATGACGTCATAGCTAAAATACACTTTCTTTGAATTCAGATGCCAATATGATGATGTCACAATGTCCGATCAGCCATTATGATCTATAAAATCATATTTACAACTTATGTGCTTTCAGAATATGTAATAAAAATTGGGGGTCACCTTTCATCCTAAGGAGCTATAACTGATTAAAAATAGGCCTGATTTTAGCATATTTTCACTGTATATCGGCACAAATATGCGCAGATACTTATGTTTGATGCGCACGTACGGCATTGCTATTGGCCATAAGATGACCAAAAAGAATGGAAATTTGTGAAAACAATGTCAGGAACCCAAACTATGTGGAAAAACATGTCTAGCTTTCATACGTGCTGCGCGCGTAAAAATGCGCGCGTATTGGAAAATTCAAAATAATTTTGAAATGCTCAAAATGGCTTGAAACGTGCTCTAATTTAGTCAAAAAGTGATTTTGAGCATTTTAAAAATTTGATGCGCACGTAATGAAGCGCACGCGTAAAATTAAGGTACAGTACATTCAACATTAACCCAAAGTTAATGCTCACTTAATACGATTTCGAAATGGCAATTGGTTAGGCTATGATCGATAATGTAAAAACGCAAAATTGCGCATAGATGATGTCACGCATAACTGCGCACTTTGAAAACCTTATTGTGACTATTCCAGGCCAAGCTAAATATTTGTTGAAGCGTGCATGCATGAATCTCGTGCCAGTTTTTAGATATCGTGCTAACAAGAAATGGGAAGAAGCTAGAAAAAAAAAAAAGATCTCTGACAATAACAAGAGGTGATCCGCTAGCGGAGCGGATCACCAATAATTAATCTATATTGTTCACTTGTCAGACCACATATCAAATTTAATTGTTATTTTAAATTGCATGTATAATAAATTCCTTACTAAAATTAGCATTATTCAAAAAAGCTTTTTAAATTTTTTTTCTTGTGTTTAAATGTAAAAAATTAAGTTATATATTTAGATTTTTTACTGTTTTTGTGTGTATTGTAATTGATTGTTCACTATGTGTTATGTTATTCCATCACATTCCTCACCCCTTAGTTTGTTCAAATAAAATTATTAAAACAGACAAATGATGTTACCATATCCGTTGTCTTACTAGTATGATCAATACTATGGAGGTAAATATACAAGTATGATCAATACTATGGAGGTAAACTAAGGGACCATCCATTAATCTAATCATTTTAGCAACAAATACAAAACATGCACTTATGGGTAGTGGGCAGCGGCAGATTTAGGGGGGACTGGCCTCGGCCCCACCTTTTGGAAGTTAAAAAAAAGGAAAAAAAAGAAAAAGAAGAAACAAAAAGAAAAAAATAATCGCCCAAAATGCCTTAGAGGTTATTTTGGGGCACTCAGTAACAAACATTTTGCGGGGGCATGACTCCGGACCACCTAGGATGTTATTATCTCAATCCGCCTCACTTTTGGCCTCTCTTTCGGCACCCACTTTCGGACATCTCTTTATCCCCCTCCCTGGAGGGGGAGGAGGAGGAGGAGGAGGAGGTTGCCAGTATATGTATGATTGGCGAAAATTAAAAACATTAGCTCTCAATACTACATTCATCCTAGCACATTCCTTCATCATTTCATTAATAATACTGCTTGATAAATTGCAATTAATCATCTCAATATGGATTAGGTCTGGGGAGATCTTATAAAGGCAAGCTAATGTTCTTCCACTGATTGAAGATAGGTTAGTCTTGCTCAATTCTACCCTTTTCCAATTTAATGTCTCACTTTCACTTACTGATTGAACTAGGCTTTCTAGGTGATCAGCTGTAAAGGAATAATGTCTCCACACAAAATAATCTTTATAATTACCTATCCGCACTAATGCTGCAAGTGATTTACCATTAATAGCTGATAGGTCATTTCTCTCTAAGCTAAGCATGTTTTCCTTTAATGCTACATTCATCCTAGTACACTCCTCCATCATTTCATCAACAATATTGGCTGATAAACAGCAATACATCATATTAAAATGGATCAGGTCTGGGGAGATCTTACAAAGGCAAGCTAATGTTTTCCCACTGATTGAAGATAGGCTAATCTTACTCAAATTTAATTTTGTCCAATTTAATATTTTATTTTCATCTACTGATTCAACTAGATTTTCTAGGTTTTCAACTGTAAAGGAATAACTCCTCCAACAGAAACCATCAGATTTATCAATTACCCTCACTAACTCTGCAAGTGATTTACCATTAATAGCTGAAAGATCATTTTCCTCTAATCTAAGCATGTTTTCTTTTAATGCTACATTCATCCTAGTACACTCCTCCATCATTTCATCAACAATACTGCCTGATAAACAGCAATACATCATATTAACATGGATCAGGACTGGGGAAATCTTAAAAAGGCAAGCTAATGTTTTCCCACTGAGTGAAGATAGGCTAATCATACTAAAATCTAATTTTGTCCAATTTAACATTTCATTTTCACCTACTGATTCAACTAGACTTTTTAGGTTATCAACTGTAAAGGAATAACTCCTCCAACAGAAACCATCAGATTTATCAATTACCCTCACTAACTCTGCAAGTGATTTACCATTAATAGCTGAAAGATCATTTTCCTCTAATCTAAGCATGTTTTCTTTCAATGCTACATTCATCCTAGTACACTCCTTCATCATTTCATTAACAATACTGGCTGATAAACAGCAATACATCATATTAACATGGATCAGGTCTGGGGAGATCTTATAAAGGCAAGCTAATGTTTTCCCACTGAGTGAAGATAGGCTAATCTTACTCAAATCTAATTTTGTCCAATTTAACATTTCATTTTCACCTACTGATTCAACTAGACTTTCTAGGTTATCAACTGTAAAGGAATATTTCCTCCAAAAGAAACCATTAGATTTATCAATTACCCTCACTAACTCTGCAAGTGATTTACCATTAATAGCTGAAAGATCATTTTCCTCTAATCTAAGCATGTTTTCTTTCAATGCTACATTCATCCTAGTACACTCCTTCATCATTTCATTAACAATACTGGCTGATAAACAGCAATACATCATATCAAAATGGATCAGGTCTGGGGAGATCTTAAAAAGGCAAGCTAATGTTTTCCCACTGAGTGAAGATAGGCTAATCTTACTCAAATCTAATTTTGTCCAATTTAACATTTCATTTTCACCTACTGATTCAACTAGACTTTCTAGGTGATCAACTGTAAAGGAATAACTCCTCCAACAGAAACCATCAGATTTATCAATTACCCTCACTAACTCTGCAAGTGATTTACCATTAATAGCTGAAAGATCAATTTCCTCTAATCTAAGCATGTTTTCTTTCAATGCTACATTCATCCTAGTACACTCCTCCATCATTTCATTAACAATACTGCCTGATAAACAGCAATACATCATATTAACATGGATCAGGACTGGGGAGATCTTAAAAAGGCAAGCTAATGTTTTCCCACTGAGTGAAGATAGGCTAATCATACTCAAATCTAATTTTGTCCAATTTAACATTTCATTTTCACCTACTGATTCAACTAGACTTTCTAGGTTATCAACTGTAAAGGAATAACTCCTCCAACAGAAACCATCAGATTTATCAATTACCCTCACTAACTCTGCAAGTGATTTACCATTGATAGCTGAAAGATCATTTCCCTCTAATCTAAGCATGTTTTCTTTCAATGCTACATTCATCCTAGTACACTCCTCCATCATTTCATTAACAATACTGCCTGATAAACAGCAATCACTCATGTCAATATGGGTTAGGTCTGGGGAGATCTTATAAAGGCAAGCTAATGTTTTCCCACTGATTGAAGATAGGCTAATCTTACTCAAATTTAATTTTGTCCAATTTAATATTTCATTTTCACCTACTGATTCAACTAGACTTTCTAGGTTATCAACTGTAAAGGAATAACTCCTCCAACAGAAACCATCAGATTTATCAATTACCCTCACTAACTCTGCAAGTGATTTACCATTAATAGCTGAAAGATCATTTTCCTCTAATCTAAGCATGTTTTCTTTCAATACTACATTCATCCTAGTACACTCCTCCATCATGTCATTAACAATACTGCTTGATAAACTGCAATCACTCATGTCAATATGGGTTAGGTCTGGGGAGAACTTAAAAATGCAAGCTAATGTTCTTCCAGAGATTGATGATAGGTTAATCCTATGCAAACTTACTCTGCGCCAATTCAATCTATCATTCGGACCTATTGATGCAAACAGCATTTCTAGGTTACCAGCTGTAAAACAATACCTTCCCCAAACAAAAGTAAAACAATGGAGGTCTAGATAATTTTCAAATTGGAGTAAGATTAACCATGCAAGGGATTTACCATTAATAGCTGAAAGGTCATTGAACTCTAACCAAAGCTTGCATTCTTTTTTCATTAATGTCTTAGCACATTCCTCCATCATTTCATTAACAATACTGCCTGACAACAAGCAATCGAACATCGAAATAAATATCAGGTGTGGGGAGAAATTAAACAGACAAGCTAATGTTCTTCCACTGACTGATGATAAGTTAATCTTACTCAAATTTAATTCTGTCCAATTTAACATTTCATTTTCACCTACTGATTCAACTAGACTTTCTAGGTTTTCAACTGTAAAGGAATATTTCCTCCAAAAGAAATCATCAGGTTTATCAATTACCCTAACCCTTACCACTAACTCTGCAAGTGATTTACCATTGATAGCTGAAAGATCATTTCTCTCTAATCTAAGCATGTTTTCCTTTAATGCTACATTCATCCTAGTACACTCCTCCATCATTTCATTAACAATACTGCCTGATAAACAGCAATACATCATATTAACATGGATCAGGACTGGGGAGAATTTAAAGAGGCAAGCTAATGTTCTTCCACTGATTGATGACAGGTTAGTTTCACTAAAATCTACCCTTTTCCAATTCAACGTCTCACTTTGACCTACTGATTCAACTAGACTTTTTAGGTTATCAGCTGTAAAGGAATAACTCCTCCAACAGAAACCATTAGATTTATCAATTACCCTCACGAACGTTGCAAGTGATTTACCATTAAAAGCTGAAAGGTCATATACCCCCAAGTTAAGGATGTTGTTTTTCAATACTACATTCATCCTAACACATTCTTCAATCATTTTATTAACAATACTGCCTGATAAATTGCAAGCACTCATGTTAATTTTGGTCAGGTCTGGGGAGAACTTTAAAAGGCATGCTAATGTTCTTCCACTAACTGATGATAGGTCAGTCTCACTAAAATCTATTTTTCTCCAATTCAATGTCTCATTTTGAATTATTGATTCAACTAGACTTTCTAGGTGATCAACTGTAAAAAAATAACTCCTCCAAAAGAAATAGTAAGACTTATCCCTGTGATTCACTAACTGTACAAGTGATTTACCCTTAATAGCTGAAAGGTCATTTCCATCTAAGTTAAGGATAATGTCTTTGAATGTTTCACTGGTTTGAAATTCTGTTATCATTAATCTCACAATATCAATTGGTAGATTACAATTTCTTACATCTAGGTATTGTAATTTAGGAGCTATTTCAATTAGCTTTCCTACTGATGCAATATCAATATTATGCAGATCAGATCCACTAACATCAAGTATTCGTAATTTCAACTGCACATGACTTTTGTGTAACTCATTAATGACAGAATTAAATACCATAGATGTCATATAACAAATTAAATCAGATAGTTCATTAGCCTTTATCAGGAAATGAATCAAAAATGATGAATTAAATTCAAAGTTGAGATGGATGGAAGTGTGATTATATGTAAAATCTAGGTTTTTCATCTCCGCTGACAAAATATTGATTTTCTTATCACTCCAATTTGAAATATATTGTAAAAACACTTCTGTTGGCATACTTTGTGCTACAATTGAGATAAGTACAAATTTATGGCAAGCCTTTCTAAAAGACCATTTGCTGGATGTATTTATCAAAGAAATTGCTGTTTCTTCAATTTGTTCAATTTCATCAAATTCAGATTCATGAATTATGGTCATAAGTTTAAATAATTGCCCATTTGTCATGTCTTTGTCAACATTAAAAATACTTATAAATAATTCATACATTTCCTTACAGCATGCTTTCATTTCCCTGGTCATGTTTTTATCTAATTCTAATATTACACGGTCTTTATAGTCTGTCTTTACATGCACAAGACTTTGTACTATTGATGAAAAACCTCCATCCAACCAATGTGACAGCAATTTACTAGCATCATGACCAAGAAATCCAATTGCAAATAATCTTGTCATATTTAAATATTTATTAGATCTTACCACCTCATATTCAACAGCTTCCAAATGCCCTTTTTGAATTTTGTCAGACAGGTAAAATCCTGCTAGTGCCTCTGAGATCAACTTGTGCGGGGGGTTTTTAATTTGCCTTAGATCATCTGGGTGGACAGGGCTCTCTTTGTACACAAATCCAAGTTCCAGTGCTAAATGAACCAACTTGTCATTATCTGTCATCCTTGACAAATCATACTGGTCAATATAGAGTCTATTTTCCTTTAGACCTTTATACATACATTCTCCTAATAGTTGCATGGCAAGTAGATAGTCATTTGGAATTCTGTCAAATTGGTCAATAAAACTTCTATTGTCACCTCTATTTTTATATTGATTTAAAATGCAACAAAACAGTTCTTTAAAAAGATCAGAAAGGTTTGTGGGTAGACATTGTTTGTATTCCCATATGGTACAAATCTTAAGCAATAACAATGGAGATGAGCACAATTCAAATGCTTCTTTGTGATTACCACCAAAGAAACCACTATCATCATTATCATCATCATCATCATCATCATCATCATCATCATCATCATCTTCATCACAGTCTTCATCATCAGACAACAAATCAAGATCAAATTCTTGAATTAGTGAGTTACCCTTATTGTTACTACCAATTGAGCAAAAATAATTAGAAATGTACTTCTTGATGTTTTTTTGACTAAATCCCTTTACTTGAATATGCATATCACAGCACCTAATCAATTTAACTACAGGTAGGTTGTCCGGTCGAGATGACATCAACACCGTACTTTGGCTCAATTCAATTCTATTGAATAGACCTACTGGATCTTTTGCACCTTTTTGTAATTCATCATATCCATCTAACAAAATAACTATTTCATCAGCATGGTTGAATAGAAACTTTTCAATTGAATCAGATGGCAAATTATTCATAAGAATTAATTCTTTAAAATACTCATCTTTTAGAATGTCCAAAAACGTTTCCGCTGCTTCAATGTCTCTGACATTTTTCAGAAACAGTAATTTATTAGCAAAGGCATTATTGGCACCATTAACAGCCCACTGATGAGTAATATATCTAAGGAGCGTAGTCTTACCCATTCCTCCTTTTCCTGTTATTAATACCTTACATGAATCTGTTGATTCAATAACACTTAATACCTCTGGTAATGTTGTGGGTCTACCTTTCTTTTTTATAGATGTTGACTTGGATTGTGTTTGTCCATCTCCTTTTCGAGATTGCATTAAGATGAGTTCAGTGAATACTTCAGCAATATCTACCGCATAATCTTCATGCCAGATTGCTGGTGTCATCTGTTTGACATTCTGATACAGCTTTTTCTGCCGTTCTGTCAAGGAATCTCTGATAATCATATCTGAAACATAATAATGTCAATACAGTATTACTGTATTTCCAATAACTATTTTTGACTATGTAATAATAAGCAAACATAGAAATTATACCATCAACATTAACTAGGAGCTATCAAAAATTTAAAACAATATTCATTGCTGCCACCATCATCATCATCATCATGGATCATGATATTTATGAATATTGTTTTTAGACAATTGTTCAAAAAACATGCAGCAAAAAGTGTTCATGGTTTTCTATACTAAACTCCTTACAGGTACACTTCCTAATCAAACTAATGAATTGAAGTAAAAATAACTACTGTATGTTTAGTAAAAATGCTACTCTACATGGTGTGTATCTTCATTCAAATACCATAGACCTTTGCCACACAATACTAGGGCTAGACTAGCCACAAGTTTTTAATTTATTGACTTTTTGTAGTGTTAAATACTATTTCGAAAAAGCGCCACCAGCATCTGTTTTTTGTTATAGTTTTAATATTGTGTATGTGATGGTCAGTGCAGTTATACACCTTAAATTTTAAAATCAAATAAATAGCCCATAACCCCTTCTGTCTGGCTCTGTTGTGAGTGTGAATTAACTTCTTATTGTAACTGCCTGTTAAGTTATTCTTCAGTTTTCAATCAATCAGTCGATGGAATTTATATTGTGCCAGATATCCAGAAAAAACTGTGAATCTGCTCAGTGGCACATGCCAATGGAAATTTGGCTAGGACATAGTTGAACAAGCTCTTCATAATAATAAAAAAATAATAATATATTATTTTATAATGCAATACTGTAACATTTATAAAATGCCTGTTTTGTTTTTATTTTACAGGTTTATCACTACTGTAATCTTAATTGTTGATGACTCTGTGATTAAAATTGATATAGATTATTGGTGATCCGTATTTAGCAAATCACCTCATATTATTTCAGTTTATTTTTCATTCTTTTTTCTGGTTATTTTTGTTAAGCAGGATATCTCAAACTTGCCAAGAGTTAATAACATGAAAATTTCCACAATCATTTGCCTTGGCCTGGAATAGTTACAATAAGCTTTCCAATGTGATCAGTCATGCATGACGTCATCTACATGCAATTTGCGTTTTTTATGACATGTTACAATATTATTAACTTCAGGTCAAGGTTGAATGTCATGTATCGTAATTTCTCGTGCGAGCATCATAACGTGCGCATACGTGTGCGTCAACACTTTTAAATGCTCAAAATCAACTTTAGAGTACGTTTCAGGCCATTCAGGCCACACCATTCCAAGGCAGGCACCATTAAAGTTTATCTTAATACCGTATTGCTTATTTGGATCATCAATCACAATAATGCCACTGTACCTTGTCTTAGCTGCTCCTGGTGCTGTAGATTTGATGATGAACCCACATGTTCAGGATCAGTACAAGAACCTTTACAAAATACATGCAATAGATGTATATAGACATATTATATTTATCATGATAAATTTTGTTTTATAGTTTGATTCCCTTTGAAAATGAGGGCAATTTGCAAGGGGTGCAGAAATAAATAAAATAATTTTGTTCAAAACATTTTAATAAATGTTGAAATGGCTTGCAGACTGAACTCTAGATCATATAGTTTGTACAGTGTACAGTAGAATTAAGGCAAACAACTCCGGTATAAAAAAAACAAAAAAAAACAACTCCTGCATAGGGGTTAGCCGTAATGTTAAAAGATGGATTTCGCCCTGCTTTACAGCCAAAAAGTGTCCCCTTAATATCTTAATAGAATGTACTAAATGAAGAGTTTAACTGCATACTACTATATTCAGAGAGGAATAAATTACTATCACAATTACTATTATAAATAATTATATTATAGAGAATCATATATTACCTTCATCATTCTCTTGTCCAGAGTTTGGAGACAGATTTGAATTGTCTGTATTAATAAAATACATCATACTTATTTCATCAATAATATTAATTTGGCATTTCCATCTAGATATATATGCCAGGAAAGAGAACAGCCAATTAGCTTCAACAAACACATTTTGCGCTCTTTGCTCAGACTACACAAAAAATACAAAAGTATAAACATACAAATAAACTTGCAAACTATAGTACAGGTTCATAAAATCACAAGGCAACAATAAATATTGTCATAAATAAAGAGATTAAAAATTTATAGTCAATACATTGAAATCATATGTTTTGGTTTAATAAGTCTTGGAAATCAAACATATACACAAAAGAAAAATATTTATATTTTGCTTAGTATATTTTTAATATAATCATACATAGGTTCAGGTTGAAGGATATTTAGTTGACAAAACTTTATCCCCAGTTGATATCAATAATGGTAATTTATAGTGAAAATCTGCTCAATTTGCAATAAAAGAAAATAGATCTTGCATGTTGTAGAATAATAATAGGTAGAAGGAATTACCAATCAATCTATAATCTTCATATTTCATGTAATTTTATCTTTGTGCTGATGACTAACAATGGTATATTTTAATAAGTACAAACCTTGGTCTAACTTTTCTCTTTCTGATGTTGATGCTTCTCCATAAACTGTAAAGAAAAGGGGGAAAACTAAAATATGAACATGAGCACTCCAGCCTTGGGAATGAGGTTCAAAGTAAACATGGAACATACATACAATGTATGACATAATCATGAGAGTGTTGATAGTACGGTCAATTACATTTCAAAACAAATTTTATAAGTCAATCATGATGTCATCACTGCAACTCCTAATATTATTTGTTTATCCCCAACAGTATAATAATTTTTTTTTACACATTGTGTACGCTTGACTTGATTTTTTTTAGGTTTGTGTGCAAAACTCAACTTTTGTACATATTACGCACTGCGATATATTCTAGGCTAGGGTAATTTGTTGACAAGAGTGGTAGGTTAATTTTTTTAAATTACTCTCGTAAAACGAGTTTGATTAGAACCCAAAGAAAGTAACTTCAAATTCAATAGTAGGTATGAAAAATTAAGAAATGCCTTGAATCAATGGACCCTAATCAACTAAAGAATAAACATTTAATAGGAATATTGTAGACCTATTTGAAAATACTCAATAAGGAACGAAATTAGATGTAGGCCTAGGCAAGAGGCCGCAGAGGCCAACTAGGCAAGATTTTACCTGTCTGCACCGACCAAAAAGTGATTAGGGCCTACTGTATTCTCTCAAATGCTTAAATAATTATTTCTTTGACAAATGTCTATCAAAATAGCATTACAAGTTCTTCAAACACAATAAAATAGTTATTCATCGTATCCGAACTGACATGTAATGTCTCACTAGCTGTGTACTGCAGAAGAATATTAGCATAAAGCGCACACAGCTAAATGTAATGCATACACAGCGTATCACAGTATGATCATATCACTATAGCAACCGATGACTGCTACAACAGTTGATTATCAAAACTAACATTAAAAGACAGCGAGACTTATAAAGCAACTAGTTTAGCTGCATACATCCTATTCTAGGTTGAAAATTATCATACTTAGGTAAGATTTAATGCATTCAAAAATTCCCTTCAGGCCTTGCAGGCCTCAGAAAAAATTTTCAAGCATTAAATCTAAGCTTCATATAATAATTTTCCACTAGTGCAGTATGTGTAGCTCTACTAAATGCTTAATAGTGCATGAAATTAACAGATTTTATAACACAGATCTTTACTAGCATGAACTTCAATGTAATCCCTCAACAATTTTAATGCTTAATTTTGTGACAATAAAAAGATTTAGGCTTCAACTGCGAGGTTATGATTTGAATCCTACACTGGCAATTCATTTGTCTTTCACAGTTTCAAGAATTTTATGTCCATCCTCAAATATAAATAAATACCAGTGCTAATATCTATGTACTCTCTGCTGATTATGCATATAGTACTCAGACCTTGTCATGGAAGGCGAGCGATCGCGCTCGCGCACCATCACGCACCTCTGTTTGGAGACAGATTTGAATTGTCTGTATTATACTATTAATAAAATACATCATACTTATTTCATCAATAATGTTAATTTGGCATTTCTATCTAGATATATATGCCAGGAAAGAGAACAGCCAATTAGCTTCAACAAACAGATTTTGCACTCTTTGCTCAGACTACACAAAAAATACAAAAGTATAAACATACAAATAAACTTGCAAACTATAGTACAGGTTCATAAAATCACAAGGCAACAATAAATATTGTCATAAATAAAGAGATTAAAAATTTATAGTCAATACATTGAAATCATATGTTTTGGTTTAATAAGTCTTGGAAATCAAACATATACACAAAAGAAAAATATTTATATTTTGCTTAGTATATTTTTAATATAATCATACATAGGTTCAGGTTGAAGGATATTTAGTTGACAAAACTTTATCCCCAGTTGATATCAATAATGGTAATTTATAGTGAAAATCTGCTCAATTTGCAATAAAAGAAAATAGATCTTGCATGTTGTAGAATAATAATAGGTAGAAGGAATTACCAATCAATCTATAATCTTCATATTTCATGTAATTTTATGTTAAAACATTGAATTACCTTTAAAAATATCTACAGCTGCTTCAATTTTAAGAATCTTCAACTTCTTAACAAAATCATTCATCTTTCCTTCCTTAATTTCGCCTCTTTCTTCTAGATCCATAATCAAATTCCAGCTGTCTGCATAATTCTTTAATGTATCATTATACAATCCATCAATATCGTCTACATCAGCTTTTTTCAGTAATGAACCCAACTTCATCAGTTTGAGTCGGTGAGGTGTGATTTCAGATATTTCAATATCCTTAACATTTTTAGGAAAGGGACATGATGGTAGTTCATTTTTAATTTCCTTTAATAAACCAAAACTTTCGGTCACATTTATAGCATAATAAAAGAGACTGGTATTTTTTGAATCTAATTTACCACACTTATTTAAAGAAATGAACAAGTGGATTGTCTTTAAAGCACTACGTAAGTCAGCAGTTGGTAATAAGTCTTTGAACAAAACTTTCAGGTTGTTCAAGCAATCCCATTGGTCAAACCATCGTGAAACCACGGTCTTAAGAATCATAAAATCATCTTCAGAAATTTCTGTAAATTAGACAAATGAAATCCATTATATAATTTTGCACTAACATTATTTTATTAATGAAATAACATGAAATCACAAATATCTTATGCTTATGACCAAAAAATTATAATGTACAACCTCGACCTAATTTCTTATCAACAGTTTGTATGTTTCATTTGCGACAATAAAATGACAAATTTAGGCTTCAACTGCAAGGTTATAACTTGAATTCCAGACTGCCAATTTACTTCCCTTAAATGAGAATTTTATGTCCATCCACAAGTCAAAAATAGATACTGGTGCTATTATCTTATGTGTACTTTGTGCTGATGACTAACAATGGTATATTTTAATAAGTACAAACCTTGGTCTAACTTTTCTCTTTCTGATGTTGATGCTTCTCCATAAACTGTAAAGAAAAGGGGGAAAACTAAAATATGAACATGAGCACTCCAGCCTTGGGAATGAGGTTCAAAGTAAACATGGAACATACATACAATGTATGACATAATCATGAGAGTGTTGATAGTACGGTCAATTACATTTCAAAACAAATTTTATAAGCCAATCATGATGTCATCACTGCAACTCCTAATATTATTTGTCTATCCCCAACAGTATAATGGGTGATTCCATGTCAAATCAACCAGTTTCAGAACAAATCCCCAGGTGACCCCCTCAAATTTTAATGAAATTTGGTCAGAATGATATGTTGCTCATATGAACACATGCAAAATTTGAAAGTCATACTCCATGTCGTTTTTGAGATATGGCCGTTTGAAATTTGCTGGACTTAGTCATTTTATGCACTCGTGAATCGCGAAAAGTGACATTTTGAATAATTTCGGATTTCAGAATGCCATATTTTAGTCTACAGACAAGACAAAGAGCTCAAAGTTGGCATTCTGACTTACTTGTTGCCAAATTTTATGAATCTGCACTCAGATTTAATGTATCATCTTTAGATTTCAAGTTATGATTGCCTAAAGTAGGGTCCAGAATGAGCGATTAAGTTTTTTTTCAATTTTTGGGGTCACCCCGAATGAAAACTAGGGGTAACATGGGCTCCATTCTA